CATAATCTGATTAAACTACAGGGAACAAACTCAAACACCAACATCTTGGGTTGGAAGAGGATTGAGGTTGACGTCTAACAGCCAGAAAGCTAAATGGATCCTCCCTGGTACGCCGAGGAGAACAAAGTTTAGACCGATGCTAAAATCCAACACATGTTACAAGCAGTTTTTTTAACTCTCCTATTGCCCAACTGAATAAATAAATAGCTAAAACAAATATAAATGTCAGGATGACAGTCCAACAAAGCATCTACTTGATCTGTTTACAAGCCCTGGATCAGTTGTAGATGAGCACTGTGGACCTAAACAGACTAAACACGACTACAGTAATCGAGTCGACATTGCTTCAAATAAACGTTTGTGGCGGTAACAAGCTTTTCCGTAATGGCAGAGGTTGTGGAGCTGCTGGTTTGGTGAAGGATGTCCTTCAGCTTGTCCGCTCTGGTGCATGCTGATTGTCATGTGGTGGAAACATGACTGGTGTTTTACGGGTTTTTAATCAGAGGCGAATTACAGGATTTAAACAGGCATATGGTTTCATCCCTGAGTTTCTTTTGTACAGTGTAAACCTGCAGATCCTGATCAGAGAGCAGAATTACTGAGTTATACGAGTTTTTTGTTTTGTTTTTGTTTGTGCTTCTGTTGAGAATCTTTCTCTGTTCCAGAGTGTAGTGTTTCTTCTCTTCTGGATTCACTCTGACATTACAGCAGGTCGTATAATTAGACGCTCTTTTTTTTCTGCCACTGAGTTTCCTGCCGATCCTGCCAACTGTGCACTCTGTATATAGACCAGTACAGCTGTGTGCTTGCTGCATGAAGAGATCCTGCCTGTTTGCGCTGGACGTGAGTGAGAGTTGTACAATAATACTTCTGGTGTTTCACAACTGTGTCCGGCAGGAATTCCTCAGAGTAGAGAGGGTTATCTGAGGTCCAGCAGAAAATGGAATGACTGAACAGATCATTGGATAGATGTCCCTTGTACATTTAAGGGCAGACACACCAGGTAAAGAAGATACAAAATGTAACTAATACATATCGCCATTAAACCTCAACAGCAAGTTTTCTGAAAGTTCTCGTTTAAATATGCAGATGAGGCATAATCTTATTTTAATATGTGCTAATTTGCATCGTTTCCAGAACAGAAATCTGAATGTTGGAGAAAGCCAGGTTCAAAATGTTTATTTAACATATATATTTATAATATATTTATAATATATTTGACATATAGAGTTCGAGGTCTTTTATATCACTTCATAATTCAGAGAATACTGTCAGCAGCCGTAAAAAGATACATTAAATGAAATGTTATATAAATCAGGCTATGGGTGATCAAATATAGTATAGTATATGAAATGTTTTTTTTGTCTGGGATGTCTTCCCTTAAGATAACTTGATTTGACCTTGCTGCGTAATCATGGGTGTGGGTTGGATCATTCTCCTGACAGACTGAAGTGATTGGCAATTGTTGTGTGTTTATTTGTGCTGAGATTGGACAAAATTGCAAGACAAATAAGGAGGGATTGGTAAATATTTGCATTCAATCTTGTGAAGAAGATCACAGTTTCCCCGACCGAATATTTACTAAGATATTTAAGGTGAGGCGCTTCAGCAAAAAATGGACATTTTTCCAGCTCTAGTGAATAAAATGGTTTAATGAATGTAGACCCCAGCAGAAGGCACAGATTTTAGGTATATATGTTTTCTCTGATTTTACACCAGGATCTGCGTCAGTTTTACTTCACAGAGACAAGGAGCAGAGCAGGATTACATGTCTGAAATATACGTCGAGCTTCCTGTCTGTGTGAGGAGCTCAGGGTGTTCCCCTTAACAACCTTTCCCAGACATTCCTCTCCTAATTATGCCCGAGGCAAAAGTGTCTGTGTGTGTCTGTGTGTGAGCATGTGCACTTGAACAGCTATCTTTGTTATGACCAATTTAAATTTTTAAACCTTTGGAAAGTGAGGACATTTTGGCTGGTCCTCACTTTGGGATGCACGTTAAAATGCCTGTTCTAGGGTAGAGCTGTCGCTGTTTCAGCTCTAAAAATGTGTTAAAATGGCCACTTGGCTGATATGGTTAAACAAACAAACATCCGTTTTAAGAGTGAGGGCAGCACCGTGGCTCAGTGTGGCCTCACAGGATGAAAGTGGAGAATTCGGTTTGAGGCCTCAGCTCTCTCTTGTGTGCCGTTTGCATGTTCTACTCGTGTTGACGTTGAGTTTTTTCCAGGTGCTCCAGTTTCCTCCTATATTCCAAAGACATGCAGCTCAATTGGAAACTCTAAATTGCCTACACATCTATATCTTGTCTGGACTTCAATGAATGCTGATAAACATTACTAATGACAATAAAATGATAATAAATCTAATTAAGGTCACCTCTCTTTTGTCATCATTTACTCTCAGATTACATATTCAATATATATTTGATTTGCCCTGCCCCCATTTTTCCAGTCAGGAACTAATGTTTCCGGTTATTCAGACACCAAATCAGTGCAGCACAAAAAGGCCTTATCTCCAATGTTTATGAAGTGGAAAAATAATTAGTGTACAAACAGACAGACTGAGCCGAAAACATAATCTCCTCAGTGGAGGTCACTAACATGTCGACTTAAACACAGCAGAATGTGTTTTCTTGTAGAAATGCATCGTGATTGATGAGTTGTTGTATCTGTGTTTTGGCTGGCAAGCTGCTGTCCCCTTATCCCAGTACTGATGCCTGCGGCACTGAATCTGTTAGTGGTCAGGAGTATCAGACCATACCAGCCTACTTATACCTCTGCTTGTATCACAAACACTAACATTTCCTTTCAGTTCTTATATCGATTCTGTTGTTTGCGAGGATCAAGACCATTGTGTGGTTTTCTTTGGCTGCTGTCTTATAAACTTATGTCACCCATTAGCAGGCAGCATGACCATCATTTTTAATGCATATTCGTCATTTTTAGAGTTTGTTCCTCACTCATTAGCGACCACCACAACCATTTTTTTTTTTTTAGACATTGAAGTCACTCCTGCTTCCTGACAGTTGGTGGTTTAATTTGTTGCAGACTTGAAGGGTGAGATCAAAATGGGACGAGACCCAGCAGCTAATTATGCTCTTGTAGACGGACATTAAATCAGAGGCTTTGTCAAAACAAACTGCCAGCACCGATATTAGCTTTATATGTGTGTGTCATATTAAAATGTTATGAGAGTCTGTGTGGACAATTTAACTGGAGTGCGAATGCTATCTGACTTCGAGATGTTTATGAAGGAGCAAGGCAAGGGCTTTAAACATGCAGCTAACGGACACTGAGTGGAAAAAATATGGAGAATACCTTAGCAGTCACATAATTGAAACTGTTTTATAAGCAATTCAAAGTTAATTGTAGTCACCTAAAGCATCAAAATGATAAAACAAAGTCAACCATCAAGAACTCAATCTTTAGAATTAAATCATATAGAGTAAAACCTAATTCAGACAGAGTAAGTATTCTTTGTATATATATTTGTGAAATGTGTTAAACTACGCCTGAAGAGAGTTTTTTTTTTTTTGGGGGGACAAGAGCAGAAAGGTGCTCATCTCGTGATTGGTCTGTTTCTCAATGGTCATGGCCAACAAGCTCCCGCTGTAGCTAACTCTGTTGACTGGGTCTGAGTACAACCATGAAAAAGGAGGGTTAATAAGGGAATATGTTGACAGTCCTTGATCCAAGACTCCTTGAACATACAGTATATGAACTCTGCCCATGCTCACATTTATGAAGTTTGTCCAAGTCCTGATTGACCAATGTTTCAGATGTGGTGAGTGTCTTGGAAATAACTGCTATTGACAACCATTAAAAGCTTAACTATGGTGCTGAGAAGATGGTGAGCCAATGTTGGCCCTTCCCGCACTGGCAGTCGACAAGTCACTAAGTCAAACTGGGAATAATAAAGGAACCCCAAAAGGGAGACTGCAAGCCAGGACGAGATGATCTGATGTGAAGAACTGGACCACCAACAAAGAGGAATTGATCTCAGACAGCTGGGTGAGCTAGTATTTTTGTTCTGCGCCACTCTGACGAATGACGTAAACCTTGGGGAATACCCGACAACTACTTCATAGTTGACCGTCTGTTGTTTTTTAAGGGTCATGTGAGTAACCAGTGATGTATTGAGGATAAAAGCACTAATGGTGCCTTCTAACAGTAGGTTACTGCTGCGTCTGCCACCCAGTCATGTTTTTGCTTTATATTTTGGCAGCAGGGCGCTGGAGATAATGGCTACATCAAAGCAGACCAGCCCTTAGCAGCACTAAAGGGTATACTGCTAACCACCTTCTTATTTCATCATATAATATTTACATAGGGTTGCAGCTTAAAAGATAAAATGTAGTTGTTTCTTATATGAAGTTCACAATTTCGTTTTTTGTATGATTTTTTTATTTTTTTAATGACATCAGCTTTAGCAGTGCTTTGTGTTTCGGCCATGTTTGCATGCTAAACTAAGATGGTATAGCATTTGCACATTGGCATTGTCTTTTTGAGCACGCTGTGCTAGGATTTAGCCTCACAGAGCTGCAAGCATGGCTGTGGACTCATAGTCTTCTTTCTGATTAATGGATTATTTGTGTGGTCAATAAAATGTGGTTTGGCCAATCCAATTGCATTCGCATGTCATGTACGTCTTTTGTTTATGCATCTACAGTTTTAAGATACAGATTGCATGATAATCCGAGGTGTAAAAAGGGGTCTTTGTGCGTTTATTTTAGGGAGACAATAGGCTTTAGTTTTCAGATTTCTCTACAAAAATCTGAATTTGACCAATAAGTCCCCCAAAGTCAATGGCTAAAAAAGAGGATAATATCTTTTGTTTTCCATTATTGATCATTGGGCTGCTCATTCCACTCACTACCCCCCTGATTTTTGGTACAGCCTTAGCAGCTTACATTCATTTGATTTGAATGCAGATTGGCAGGTTTCAGTCAGTCCCATCAGGGCGGTGTGGTGTTTGTCACCACTGTGTGTGTGTGAGCGCATGCTCGGGAGTTGTTGGGTGGAAAACACGGGTTTGGTTGAGAAGGACTCCTACCGCTCTGTGGAGACTGCTGTGGTGGGCGGCAAAAAAGTTCTTGTGAAGGATATTCAGGCCATGCACCACCATGTACCAGCTTGTGTTCTCCGGTCATGTTGGCCGCTGTCTTGTTTGGATGTTGGTCAGTGTTTTGGGCTATTCTGCTCACCAATAATATTTAACCAGCAGCATGGTAAAGCCAGCCGTAAATTTAAGCTCCAATATTGTTCTGTTTTGCCATAATGGTTATAAAACACTGTGGTGTCAATTAAACAAAGACATATTTTTGCTAAATAGTTTATTGGCGCTGCTGAACCTGACCAATCACATATTTTTGGTTCCAATATGTAACTGTGTTTTTGAGTATTTTCTTTAAATCCTTATTCCAATACTTTGGTTCTAAATAACTAGATGCTTGATCAAGTTACATCTCGGAGAAGATGTAGCTCTATATTGCAGCTCCATATATTTTCAGTTTAGAAGCAGTCTAGTTGCCCACAAGCGCCTGTGTCGTCTGTACTATATTTGCGTGAGGGTGCGGATGCAGAATGGTTGCATGGGGTATTTTTGTCTGTGAAGATGGACGGCTGTGGTCATGTTGTGGTCAGACTCTTCGATCGGATCAGACAGTTGCACACTGCAGAAGAGAGAAGAGTAAAAAACATGAGAAGAGATGAAAAGTAAAGTAGGTGGAGGAAAGGAGAGAAGAGAAAACTGTAACATTGTTTTAATGGTTTTATGAAGTTTGTTTTTTCTTTATGGTCCTTTAATACAATAAACACCTGAAAAAAACGACATGTAAACAGTTAACTGTGCTATGCAGTATAATAAACCTTTCTCCGTAAGCACTGACTTAGTGATTCACAGGTCAAAAAAGACACTGTGAGGCTGTACTTGGATGTCCTCTGGTAAATGTGTTGAACCTGCATCTCAGTGACCTGGTTACGCTGAGTCTGCAGTTTGTTTTGGTCGGTAAACGATACAGTCTAGTCCCTTATAACAACAAGCCAGCCTCATGTCATACACAGCCTCACTGTGGTGTCTGATACGGTATCATTGTGGTAAACTCTACGTTGGCCACAGGTTCCTATCTATTGTTCTCCAAACCTACAGTATAAATCGTGGTGGCTACTGTTGGAAAACCCCTTCTTTTGTGTTTTCACCAATTCGGTGTGTTACGGAAAATCAAGCAAGAAAGTCAATAGACCTGCAGTGAGTTGACGGTACAAGAGCTTCTGTGTATACTGAGGTGAAAGTAGAATTACTGTCAGATGGATGAAGATTAACAGATGGCTCACATGTTCCTGTAACAAATCAGAAACAGTCATGATAAACAGTTTTTTTACATTCCATTAACAAACTAGATTGGTAGAGCTGTACAAAGTGATTAACAGGTGGGCCGCCCTGCTACTGTTTTGACCCCATGGCCTGGGATGAATTCCAAGAAGCAGCAGAAAACAATGCACATGTGTGCACCGAATCATTAGAATTATAAATAAACTATAATTGTTGGCTGTGTAAACAATATTGGAGCCGCTCAGCCCTGGGCGAATAGGGTGGTTGCTAGATTTGGACAGATTCAGGGAATCCAGAGAGTGAAACCATTCTACTGACTCTCCTACTGTCAACTCCAACTGACCCATGTTGAAGCCCTGTGCTTAATAACAACCTGTCTAGGTGTATCATCCCTCTAGCCCAATTTGAGCTGGGATAGACTCCCCTCACCTGCAGGATGAGCATACTGACGAGAATGGAGCGGTGAGATTCCCCTGAGGCAGAAAGAGTGGTGTGGTGAGTTTATTGTATGTGTGCCGGAGGACATACAATAACATGCCAGTCATTTGTTTTCCACAGGAAAATAAAAAAAGAAATCATCCAGTGTTTGCTGTAATTTACTCCCAAGCAGCCATAAATGACTAGACTTAACCAGCAAAAGAAAACATTAATACATCCAAAACTTTGGTGCTTTCCCTAATTTAAAAGTTATGTATAGAGTCCTGCCTCATGCACTGAGTCCTCATAAACATTTGGTTCTCAATCGTATTTACTCTCTATTCCAAAGTGACCCCAAACCCTCTTTAATATGTACAGAAGATTTCCTACTGACCCCTCTAATTCATTCATTTCTAATGAACAGGGTTTATATGTCACATCTGTAGTAAAGCCGACCGCCGCGAGGTAGTAAATGTGGATTTCCACTGTGGCAAATGTGATGCTGAGCATTATAATGGCAAAAGCATCCCAGCTGATACAATGCAACTGTGAGATCAAAGACCCGAAAGTGTCTCACTGCGGGATCAGCAGTTCTCTTGTTTTGTTTTCATGGTCGGCCACTGATGATTTTTCAGTGTGTGCAAGGTCCTGACAACACGTTGAAATGTACTCATAGGCATCTATGTGCTCGGTCCACAGTAGCACACCCTTCAATGATTTACTTGCTATGTTTGTAAGAACTGTTCAAAGTGAGGAAAAGTTTAGCGTCTCCCTCTGCTGCGATCTGATTGGATAAACTTTGATAGTTTGGCAGAAAACTTAAACCTTAAATTGACTTAAACCTGAAATGAATGCTTTTTTGACCACTTGTGTTAACTTATCAGCAAACAGTTGCATGTTTACACATAGATAGATAGAAAGCAATATTAGCGTTCACAAGAAATCCTTTTTTCTTACCTCCTGATCAGACCAATATTTCCTCTCTTTTTAGTCTCTTACTGTGATTGTCTGCTGTTTGGTGCTGAGCAGGGAGTGTACACTGGGATTATCAGAGCAAAATGCTGCCTGTTAAAGGACATATTAACAACCGCCTTTAAAAGATTACCTTAAAGTGCTTTTATTCATTTCTTTAAACACATTTGAACTCATTTCTCATTTGGAGCCACAGTTTGGGGTTAAACTGCATTACTTTTGCACCATGCAGCAGCAATTTCCCTCTAAATCGAGGCAGTTATTAAACCTGTTACAGCTGTTAGCATGTGGCCACGGCAGCTCACAGACAGAAAGGTGGTGAGTTTAGAACAAAAGCACAACAGCAGCTGGGACCCAGCCCTCACAAACCAAAGTCAGTGGGCTGAGCTTCCTGCGTGTCCAGAGGAAAGAGCAGATTTTATTACCAAGTAATGTTTTCAGAGACGGGGAGACAGACACAAAGTCAACAAAGTCAGTTTTGACAGATTGTGTTTTTCAGGAATCTTTCTTTCAAATATTACATTACAGTCATTTTTTTAGACAGGGTGACCTGGATAGTGTAAACATAATCCTGAATAGTACAGCTGTTTTTTTTCCTGTTGGGTACATAAACACAGCAATACACCGTTTGGGATTATTATTATTTTTTATTTTTTTTGAAACAAGCATTTTTCTTAGAGATATATGTGTATATAGTATATGTTTAGAGAGCTTATTCATACTGTGAATGTTGAAACAGAACAGAACACAACACATCATTTAATTAAGAAATATACTACCAGTATATATATATTTATATAAATATATATATATATTTAGCCGATCACAGAATCCTACTGTCAAACTACTCTTTATTATTTTGTGAGCCTGCATAATATTTGACGATGGTGAGTAAACTGTTTTTATATTATAGTTATGTAGTGGATTATGGTTAGCATGTGGTAGCTTCAGCCAGATGCCAGCTTCTTATAGAGACTAGCTAAACCAGGTCAACTAACTTAAAGAGTCGGTCGGAGTCTATTTTTCTTTTCCTCTGATGTACTTTGTGGAGAATCCCCACAGGCAGTCCTTCAAATGACATAAAGTCTCACAAAGTCAAAGAACCTGGCATATTTTGACAGGCTCTGCAGTTTGGTGTCATCAAAATGTTGTGACATTTCATTAAATTTTGTACAATCGACCAAACCAAGGAAAGCTAGCTCACCAAAATGATCAAACCTAGCTTTCAGTTGAACACTTACATTGTCCAGAATGTTATAAAACATTCGTTTCCTCTCATCTCTGACTGAGTTTTGACTTCGGACACTATCTGTCGTCCCGAGCGTGGCACATTTCTGTTCAAATCGCTCATAGAAACTGTTAAACCCTTGTCTCTGGCGTTCCACAAATCCAATTGTGTCGCGGATTCGTGCACAACAAAATCCAATGTCCATTACTTTGTTTTGCAGCACTCTAAAGAGTGCATCGGTTGCACTGAAAATGTCCTCATACGCCATAATGAAAAAGCACGTTGATGCCTTTGACAGCCACCGCTCATATCCAGCGGCCATCATTAGGGTGTCATTATCCCAACTATCTGTATTTTCTCTCATAATACGGAATACAGCATGCAGATCAGATTGGTAGATGCTTATTGTCTGCAACAGTCTTGAATTTGAGCTCCATCTCATGGGTGCTGCTCTTGGTAAACGTCGCTTCACAACATCATCCAATAAGTGGGTGCGCTTCGTGGACTTACTGAAAAATGCCGCTAGTCCCTCAAGTGTTTTAAAAAAAGTTTTACACTCAGGCATGCATTTTGCTGAATGCAAGAGCACCAGGTTCAATTTGTGTGCGTAACAGTGAGTAAACATGGCCTCAGGCACCTTTTCTTTAATCCTGGCCTGCACCCCATTAAGCTCTGATGACATCACAGCTGCTCCGTCATAAGTCTGAGCTACCAGCTTTTCGACACACTTGTATTTCTCCAACACTCCCAAGACATACTCGGCTATAGCAGGGGCTCGTCTGTCATCACTCATATCATCAAATCCCAAAAACACCTCCTTCAGTTCACAGGCCACCTCACTTTTAGCCACATAACGCAAAATGACAGAGATCTGGGCTTTGCTTGTGACATCCGTTGTCTCGTCTACTTCTACAGCAACAAATGAGGCTGCATTAATCTCCTTTTTGATATCATTTCTAATCACCTCACCGACTGCTTCGATTAAATCGTTCTGTATTCTGTTTGACAAGCCAGAAAACACAGTGGATGTCTCCAAATGTCTAGCTAATCTTTCATCTTTCTAAGCAAAGGCATGTAATAGTTCTACATAGTTGCCACGATTAGAAGAGCTTGAACTCTCATCGTTACCACGAAATGCCAGTTCCTGTTTGGCTAGGAAGCAGGATGCATTAATGAGGTCTTTTAAAATCTCTCGGTTTTCCTTTACCTTAGCATTATGGATGCTAATATTTAGTCTCTGTTGTTCGTCCAAAGCCAAATCTATTCTCGAGGTTCCAAAAGTTTTCAAAGCAATTTGGCTTTGAATGTGAGTAGTTGATCTTTCATGTTTGCTGAGGTAGATCACAAAATCCTGATTTAGTCCAGACATTGTCACACGTTGAGAACAGAAGACAGGGAAATCAGTAAAGGCGGTTTCTTGTAGCACAGCCACACAGCCAGTCTCTTCGATCGTACCACTCCGTTTGAAAAGAGCGAGTCATCTTCTGTCCCGTCAAACAAACAGGACACCTTTACTTTTGATTGAACTCAAATGTGTGTAAACAAGTAGACCTGTAGAGGAGCACCGATTGGCCCACTCCTACTGCCATCTTCTGCTGCATGCAGGAAAACTCACTCGTCTGTTCATCAGCTCACATGAGGACCCCACAAAACTGACACAAATGTCTGTGCGACCTTCCAGCAGAAGGAACAAATCATCCGCCTCCAAGAGGAGCTGGACAGAACGCGGCAGGAGAAGAGCAACTTCCAGCTGCAGAGGGACGAGGCCCAGGAGGGCTGGGAAATCTCCAAGAGGAGGCTGGAGGAGAAGAAGGCCAATCTGAGGAACAGACAAAGGAGGAGACAGGAGACGTTATGTGCTGTGAGGGGTTTAATCCAGTGGGTCCCAAAAGGTTTTACAGTAAATCTAAGAGGTTGCGAGATGATTAACAAAAGAAGAACTAATACCATCACTACATGATTGAACTGATTACATTGAGTATGTTGAATTTCCTGTTTACACTAAATCATATTTGATTGGTGTGTGAATCTGACCTCTAAACACCTCATTTTGATGGCTGGTCCAGGTGCACAAGCAGAAGCTGAAGCACGTCCTGTCTGAACATGACGTCACCATCTCTGGGCTGAAGGTGGACGCCATCGCCTCGACCACGCTGGTGCAGACCAAGCACACACAGTCAGAGCTCACGCTTCAGAGAGAACTGGAAGGCCTGCGGGCGGAGTTCAGGGAGAAGAAGATCAACAAAGAATTCGGCATCATGCAACTGAAGCTGGTGAGGCTGGCTTCGTTTTTACATTTGTCTCTAGTTTTATTTCTGCAACTTCACCACAGACCTGTTGCCTTTTGATTCCAGGCGGAGTTAATACAGCTGGAAAACAACACTGCTAAAAGAATCGAAGGTGAATGAATCCAATCTCTTGAGTCAGATTCAGAAACTCCTGTCATAAACTGTCATTAACATTTTCCCTTCTGTTGCTTTTCAAATAGAAATTAATTTGAAATATTGCAAGGACATGCAGTCCATGACCAACGCACAGGCCGAACCGGAGTCTGCCCTGGTCGAAGAGCTCGACAAAAGAATGAAAAGTTGCGTACTGACTCTGAGAAAGGACCACGACGAAGCTCTCAAATCATTGATAGATCGTCAAAGTGAGCTGATGAATCAGACATCTATGAAGGTACGAGACGTTACAGACTCACCACAGAAAGAAAACGGAACAGATGAGCAGAAATATGTATAATTATTCCGTATCATCATCCAGACTAAATTAAATTATTTGTATTTACTTGATAATTCATGAGACATTTTCTGAGAGATAGGTGAGATTATGTTACAAAAACATATTTTTTACCAGCCAATCAGGGCTTTAAGACATACATTTTTCTCCACTGTCAACAATCACAGTTAATAAATAGTTATTATGCCCTCAAAGAAAAATTCCCTGACGACAATCAAATTCACAAATATTCTTTATTTTATTTGGTTGGTATTTTTGTGTCACTTGAAAAAATTTTATTAAATTTATTTAAGAATCTGTTAGTTGTACTCATCGAGACTCATAAACTACTTCTACATGTAGTGAAGATACTTGAGTACAGCACAGCTCTTTTCAGGTGACTCTTGTGTTATGTGCCTCATTTGTTGCTTGGTAGGGTGAACATGCAGAGGCGAAGAAGCAGGATGCGCGACTGGACAGAAAGATTTCAGCAGCTCAGCAGGAGAACAAACGTCTGAAAGAGTCTCTGCAGGAAGCCCAAGAGAAGCGTCTGGAGTTACAAAAACAGCTGGCAGTCATGAGTCAGGCCAAGGTCAAGCACAGGGTGCGTTCACTTCACACCCGTTCAAAAAGCATCAATACACATTGAACATCACTATCCTAACTTAGGTACAAATATACTGAATGAAAAGCACACGTTGGTATTTTAAGTTGATGAAATCGTCTGGGATATTTGTTTATTTTCTGAGATTTTCAGGGTTTTTTTGTGCATTAGTGTTCATTACTACCTGAGCCTAAAGGCAAAAAACTACATTATTTTAAGTTTATTTTAATACATTTGTCAATCTTTCACATTAGTTTCAACTAACAATTTAAATGTAAGGTCACATGAGCATGGTGGACACTGTTGGACAGGGGGCGTGGCCTTTTTTCACCTCACCACTAGGGGTCACCAATGTTTTAATCCTACATAAACAGCTTTTATGTCTCTTTTATGTGCTTCGTTGGTGCTGCTATGAAACTAAATGTGTTGAGGTTCGATAATCAACCTCACATTTATACTTTTGTAAGGCACCCGCTGACGGCCGGTGTACCGAGAAATAACTATTCAATACTAATAATGACCCTAAATATTGATATTAATTTCCATTCTTTGAATCTAAACTTTCCTTTATGCATTTTCCTTACATCTACAATACCTGGGTCCGCTTTTACCTGCCACTTACTGTTGTTGTCTCTGACTATTTTATAGTTAAATGAATTATTTATTCAGCAGAAAGGAAAGTGAGAACAGATGAGTATATATACTGAGTTATAACTGACTAAACTAAGAACATAATACCCCGAAAATCATACACATTTTCCTTGAAATTGCTGCTAATGGGTCTGACAGTTGGCGTCTGAAGCTAGAGCGAAGCGCCGTGCTAAGGAGACGAGGGACATGTCGATGGGCTGTTTGCTGCACGAGCAGGCCATTGAGAAGGTAAACTCTCACATCGCACGGTTTACCTTCATTCGGCTCGATGGGTATTCATATTGTTGCTTTTGTCAGCTTCAGCAGGAGTGCGATGAGATGTCGAAGAAACAGACGGAGGCCATCTGTGACATACAGCAGAAGAGCGGAATGAGGCTCTTGTTGCTGGGCAGGAAAGTGTCAGTGCTGACCGACACTTTGGAGTGCTCTCGGCCTCTAACATCGAGCAAACTGAAGGCAGCAAACTCCAGGTATGTTTTTTCTTTTTCTTTATCCTCCTTTCATTTGCACCAAATTAATCTTTGCACAACTTTAAAAAATGTGCATTCAAACACTTGTGCAGGTAAGAGCACATTTGTCGAACAGAAGAAAGGCTCAAAACAACCAGCCTTTTAATAGCCAAGGGGGCACCACAGGGTTCTATGCTCGGTCCGTTATTATTTACCATCTACATGAACAATATCATCACTCCAACTCCGACCAATATCATGTTTTTATACAGAGGACAAACACTCCTGTATCCAACTCAACCCATGTCTAGATTACAGTCTACTGAATGTGTTTAATCCTCAAGAACACTGTTGTGCATTTACATACAGCTATATCCCTGACTTTGACGTTGTTCAATCTTATAAATATCTCGGAATTTAGTTAGACAGCAGTCTTCCTTTGAAACCTCATGTGGAACAACTGGTGCAGAGTCTTAAGATAAAATGAATATAGCATGTTTAAAGCATGTTCTTCCTCAAAACATTGTGCAATCTACCTGTGTATCATTACAGAATACACATAGTATACTTGTGCTGTACTAAGTATATCACATCTGATCTGGAACTGACTAGGACCCTGTTCACACCTGGCTTTAACATACGTTAAGCTTTTGATAACTGAACTGCCTCCTGCTACTTAACGCTACAGAAAGAATTACAAAGGACTTTAAAACTTTAAAGTCATTGATTTTTGTTTAATGAGCAAACCCCTGCGTGTTCACGTCAACCTCCTTTTTCCTGTGCCTCGTCATGTCCGACATCACTCACTAAAAGAACAGTTAAATCATCAGTGCGTTGTTCTTCTGGCCAACACCTTCCTATGATTCCTCATGAACAGGGCAAACTGCAGCGGACACTAGCATGGTTTTACACTTAAGACTTCATTTTATTTGGTGTCTTTTCAACAATTGTTATGCGTTCAATGTCTTTAGTGTTTTGCTGAATTTTGGTTCTGTAATACAGTATTTTTCTATTCCTTCCATTCCTGATGATCTCAACGTGTGTTTTTTTTTTCCACAGACACATGACTGAGGATGACACTGCTGTTTTAATGGTGTTGATGTTGATGTGACTAATTTTGACAGTTCAGGCACCTCTTAATGTAAAACAGTTTGCCAACTCAAACATTTCTGAATATATATAAAACATTTGTAAAGTTTAGAAGACATCCTTTCTTTCTTTCTTTTCAATAAAAATTATATACTTGAGGTTTTGTGAAATAACTTTGTTTTGACATCCATCTTTGAAATCTGGGTTTAAATGTATAGACTAAACGGTAACACTTTCAAGAACTAATAGGCCATGTCAGATCACAGAAAATGTTTTTATTATTGTTAGGTGCTTGGTGGAAGAACTTTAAGATGGCTCCTCGGGTATTTGGCTCTTACAAGGATGGCTGACTGTAGTAGAGTGTGAAAAAAACAGATTCACGGTCTACTTCATGGTCGTGGTCGAACAGTAAGCTGGCCGTTCCATTCTGCCTCGATTTCTGCCTAAAGAGCCTCTTTAAATCCGACAAACTGAACAACAACCTGTTTTTTGTGAATGTACGAGGATTCTCCCTGGTATGATCTCTCCGAATGTCTTCATGCCCTCATTTACTCAGTTACTTCATGCATCTTGGGCAGATAGGATAGCTATCTGATTTCAAAAAAGCTTAGTGTAAATGCGTACACCTCCAGAGGTGGTTAGAGACGCATTCTGGCCAGATGTTGAAAAAAAAGTGCAAATGCATCCGTCTCTCCAAGAAGCACACGTAATCTTTACTCCTCCAGTAGCATTAACTGTGTCAGAAAGCAGTCTTTGGAAATATCCACTCGCTGTCTGGTTTTCTTTATACATTTATGTCTGTCTGCTCTGTCCTTTGGATTATGGCAGCTAAAGTTACATATTGGTCATCGAAACAAAATATGTGGCTGACTGTTAGCAGCCTCACTTCAGATTTAATTGATACAGCTGTGACGGCTCGCACTTTGTTTGTTTTATCCACAGCACTGCATCCTGAAGGTGTGAGATCTATTGACCTACAACTTGCACGCCGAAGTAAAAACTGTGTTCACCTTACTACATCTGCCTTTTGAGTCTTCGGTTTGAGTCCAACTTCCGGAGCAGTATTCAAAACTGTTACAGTGACCATTACACAAAGTATTGTAAAAACAAACCCTGCTATTAAAAACATGAATTACTAAAAAAACGGTGCACTGCCATTACTTTGTAGAGCTACCAGTTTAGGTATAAAGAAAGATAAGTGGTGTTTTCTACAAGCCTGACCCTGAGAACAACCTCTTAATGTGTAAATATAAATTTTTACAGATATTGGGTTATTAACCTCCAGTGAAAATGAATACATTTATACCAGGCTGTTAGCATAGACTGTAAATAAGTAGTGGACATAGTCAGGACTTCACCCATTGGTTTGTGGACTACGGTTTAGAAGCCTCAATTTGGGCATTTCATCTGTCGCCATCTTGGTTTTTTGGAACCAGAATAAGACATTTGTAGGCGATCAAAATGTTACCTGTCACTCACAAGGTAGCCATGCCCTAAATCATACCCTGCTTTATGGTCTGTTTTACTCTAAATGTTTACAATGTTTACTGAGATAATAAATCAAGGGAGAAATAGGGTAATTTTCTCAAAGACTTCTATAGAATCTGACTTATTTCTGCAACCAGAAGAGTCGCCCCCTAATAGCTATTAGAAAGAATGCAAGTTTATGGTACTTCTGCATTGGCTTCACTTTTCAGAACCGGGGGTTGCTGCCTGGCTCCCATACAACTTGTGTAACGGCTCCTCACTCTGCCAGTTGTCACTACAGCTCTTGCAGACAAAGCAGCATTGCACTCATTCGGAACAGGAAATCATGGTCTTGATGTATAAATAAAAATATGCTTTGTGGTTTTGTGGGCTCCATACCATAGTACAGTTAGGTTGAGTGTCGGCACTTTTGCACTGTCCACTGAAAGGAAACGCAGCAGCCATAATCACGGCATCTCATGAAGGCGTAGAAGAACACCAGAGGTCCAGCGTAGCTCAATGTGGCCTCAAGAATTTGTGTTGTGACCACAGAGGGCCTCCCTACACTTGTATGTGTGTGCATCATTCTAAAATAATGCAGGAAGTAAAGGAGCCATTGCCTCTGGACCTGCAAGCGACCTCACATAAACCTCATGTTTTCAGTCACTCATGAGACCGGTCCAGCAAACATCCTGTGCTGCCAAACGGCTTTCAGGTTGGTGAAAATATGTACGGCTAACCGCGATAAAACTGACGTAAACCATGGCAGCGGAAGCACAGGAAATCAGACAGACTGTTACTTCAAGAGGAGGAAAAGCCTCTGTGGGATTCAATTCTGCAAAATTGATAAATTATTTGGTATCTGCAGACAAAGAGGCGCAAAGAAGTAGACGGAAGGAGAAAAGAATTTGCGGTCTCAGTTTTTGGAGGTGCCAATTGCCAGATCGTAAGTATGCATACAAGAATAAACTACAAAAAGGGCGGCCACAGGGCCAGAAAAAAACACAAATATAGCGAGGCGAAACGCCACAGGGATAAAGATCATGGCAAAATGAGAGTGAATCTGCGGTCAGGGGGTGTATGTTTCTGATGTAATTGAGCCGGGGAAGAGGGCCCATGTTGTATTTGACACTATGCTACTCATCCTGCCTTTAGCAGGGTTTTTTTGATTAGTTTGGTGGCTTAATAGTAGGCTATTTAGGTCAACATGTTAGCATGCTGATGTTAGCATTTAGCTCAAAGCACAGCTGTCCCTTTGTACACCCTCACAGATGAGCTAACATGGCAGTAGCCTACTAAACAAGACACTTTGCAGTTGAAAAATAAACTTGTTCTGTGGACTAACAATGTAGAGGAGGCACTAATCATAAAATACCTGAAATAAATAATTTATATTTATTATTTAAATTATTTTTACTTATCAGCTGACTTAGATAGCAGAATATCTGTACTAAGAAAAAAATCCAACAATAAATCTCTAATAACAAGTGTCACTTGTTTCGTGCAGGGTTCAGACTAGATTAAACCACCCCACCCAACTTACAGTAATGAACCCACCCATGTCTACTGTAAAGCCAGCTGTTCTGGGAAATGACTGTAGATACAGCCGAGACTGACTCAGCTGTAACCCCATTTACCCCAGACTGGTCTCTGTACTGTCCCATGGTTTCGGAGTTTTATACATTTTCAGACCTGCTGTAAATGCATCAGTGAGGTTCACACATGCTTTGTCATTTACCACTGACCACTAGAGTGCTGAACTGTGCCTTCGTAGACCAGTCGGCACATTTCTACCAATAAAAGGTAAATGTGACGCCCACCAATGTGTTGTCACGTGTCTGGTAATGTATTTTGTTTGCTACATGCATAATGTTATGTACATCCCAGCCTGTAGCCAGTAGGGGGAGGGTGGCGCTTTACTTTGCTTTAGGCAGGCTTTACGACAGGTGAGTTTTAGATTTACGCCCTTAACGTGGCGATACCATTGTTTTTCTAATTCTGCTGAGCGAGGCTAAACAAACAGGAGTGAAGTTGCCCTAACTGCGGTCAAAGTCCAAAAATGATCTCCTTTTCCGAACTACTTTTCCTTAATCTTGATGGAAAATGTCATGAGGTCAAGGAAGGTTTTGAACCTTAAAGGACTTTTCGATCGCAGCCCGTGTCTCATTCATTTGTCATGTTTGGGTGAAGAAGTAATCCAAATTAAATAAGTCTTTCGAAATAAACATAATTGTTTTAGTAGCTGAGTTCGCAATAAATACATTTCTGTAAGGATATATTAATGTGGGTGTTTGTAAGTGAGTAGATTGATTTTCCGGTGTGCCATGTTTGTAAAGATGGCACTTTTTTAAGCTCTGTTTTTAATATCAACGTCATGTCCATTGAGAGTGTTATTTTTGGCTTCATGAACATTTCGGTTGTAATATTCTGCTATTGTGTAACTGTTGTAAAAAAAATGTTTAGGTAGATTAACAAACTTTGAGCAAAAGACTAAGTTGAATTAACTGAGCCAACAAAACTCTACTCAATAAGTAGACTTAGTGTTGAAATGTGGAAATAGACAACACGTTTGATTGTGTTATTTTTTGGAGGTCTTTTTCACAAGAGATACAGTATAAAAATGTAAATGATGTCAAATAGATTGGTTTTGCATATGGTGAATACAGGAATTCTGCTGAGCGAGGCTAAACGAACAGCAGGGAAGCTGCCCTGTCTCATTTATTTGTCCTGTTTGCAGAAACTGTCTATTTGGTACCAGTCGGTACCTGTAACAAAAGGAGAAAAGATGGGATTTCTTTACATTGTATCTCTTCTCTTTTCATTGTATCTCACCAGTTTTGTCACAAATGTATGTTCTGTTCTTCAATGATAATTATCTTTGCTCAATTAAAATGTTGCTTCAATCACCATGATGTATCCATTGTCGTTAACTCTTATTCCAATTGTGTGAAACTCAGTTTTAAACCAGAGTGGAATTGAAAAGCCTGGAACTACAACATTATTATACTGACACATACAATATTGCTCTTGTCACTTTATTGTAAATTCAGTACTCTTGTACCTGCCAGGATCCTGTTTGAAGGATGACATGGTTTATCCAATGATCGGATTGGTCAGTGGTCGGGCTGTTGGCAGGTTTTGATCTGATCCCAAGTCCACATTGGTTTCCATGGTTGATTTAACCTGGTTAAAAGTGAGCCAGCTTTGTGATACAGGAAATGCCCAGTAAATACACTCCCCCACATCATGCCCATGTACACACATGTACATGTATGTGCACATGTGCATGTGTGAACATGTGATTACATGTTTACACACGTGTGTCTCAGCTCTAATTTGAGACGTGTTTGGAGGAACTTCCTCTACATCTGAACTAACACTAACGTGGCTCTCTGAGACTCCGGCCCTCATTGGACCAACCTTCTGTAATTACAGACCACCAGGCAGAGGACGCTGGCACTCCCAGTCGGCGAGCCCAGCCAGGAGGCCCTGTTTCTGGGGGAGGAATTGACCTTACATGGGCACTCTTCTGGATCTGTGGTTCCCTGGAGCTAC